GATTTTTACCTTTTTTTCTTTAATTAAAAGCTTTCTTTTTAGAACCTGATTGATTTTTCCTTGTTTTAAGATCCAAGGGGTTTGGATCTTGATTCACCAGGAGTTGGTGGGAGGAAGGAGGGGGAATGGTTAATTTCTCCTTGTTTTAAAATCCAAGGGGTTAGGATCTGTATTCACCAGGGAGTTGGTGAAGGTTTTTCAAGGCTTCCCAGGGAGGGAAAAATTGAAATGGTGGCAGCGGAACCAGAGCTAAGCTGGTAGTTAAGCTTAGAAGTTTTCATGCAGGCCCCTACATTTGTACCCTAAAGTTCAAAGTGGGGATCCAGCCTTGACAGGTGGTAAGCAATTGATCTTCTGGGATTGATTTATTGCGTCTTGTCTAGATGTGATAAATTGATCGCGGATCGATCCCGGAAGTGCTTGCCGTCGACACCGGTACTCCAGCTCGGCGAGAGGAGTACACGGCATCGACGGGGGAGCCTGCCTGCCACGTTTGGACCCGCAGTAAGTTCGAACTAAGGTACTTTGAATTCAGCTACGTTATTAATGTAGCTGAATTTGCGTACCTTAGTTTGAAGTGGGGGGTTAGTGTGGACCAGGCCTTAGAGCCCTGTGAAAATAAAAGGGGTGGGGGACAGGAATCCTGGTATCCTAGCCAGGAGGCTGCATAACCTCCTCCCTGGGGGGTTCACTCTAGATTAGCTTAACCTGTTCTTCCCCACTGTTCAAAGACTGGAGCTAAATAGGCTTCATTAGGAGCCTCTTTTGTTATTTTAATTACTCAATCAGAGCTGAAACCAGTGGAGGACTGCATTTCTGTCCTGCCTGCTAAGAGCTAAAATCACTGGAGATGGGGCAGTGTTTCTACCCAACAACACAAAAGTCCCTTTCATGCCTGACCCTTCTCTGCACCCTACTCACAGTTGCTGCCCTTGGTCAGTGCAGAGCCAGAGCTCAGAGGTGCATCTGCAGAGTTCAGCTTCCACACTGGGGGGGCGGAAGAGGCATCTTGTTCTGCTCACCACTCTCATTGTGCCTCTCCACCATGGCCCTGCTGGCCACTCATCATGACTTTTTGCTCTGACCCATTCACTAGCTCACTGTCAGTCACCTTCTGCCTCTCTGTTGTGACCTCTGCACATCAGTCTCTCAATGATTTTCAGCTCTTAGCAACCAGAGCAGAAATACAGACCTAGACAACTGGTTTCACTTCTAATTGACCAATTAAAATCACAAAAGAGGCTCCTAATGAAGCCTATTTAGCCCCAAACTTTGAACAGTGGTAAAAAACAGATTAAACCAGTCTGGTAAAAAAATCACCAGAAAGGACATTATACAACCTCCTGGCCACAATGCCAGGATTCTACCCCTCTACTTTCACAAGCCTCTGACATTCGAACCCCTGCCTTCACAAGGTTCTTTCAAGTGAGGGTGCCCCCCTCCCCTTTGGGACAGATTAAGCACAGTCCTGCTTTCCTGTATTCCTACAACAATTACAACATTGGTAACCATATTTCACTACCTATGCATTCCGTACTAAGGTGTTTCGTACCCAACACCAGTTTGACACCACTGTATTCTGCTGAATACGTAAACAGAGCAGGAGCAAACTGTATTTACAGAAACACACCAAAGTCTCTTCCCCTCCCACCTAGCTGTCACGGAAGCATTCATTCAGACCCTGCTTACATGTACATTGGTGGGCAAGTATCAGAGGGGTAGCCGTGTTAGTCTGAATCTGTAAAAAGCAACAGACTTCTTCAGAGTGAGGTTCTTACCCACGAAAGCTTATGCTCCCAATACTTCTGTTAGTCTTAAAGGTGCCACAGGACCCTCTATTGGCAGGCAAATTTATTGCACCAGTCCTCACGCAGTGCCACCACTGCACCTGACTCTTGACACAGCTTGTTCACTGCAAGGGGGCCTCTGCACACCTCTGCCAGTGTCCCCCATCCTAACCTGCAGCAGTCCCCATCTCCTTTGTGTAGCATGATCTACAAAATGCATTCTGGTCTTGTCTCTCATGTTTCTGTCTGCCTTTCCCTCAGGAGCAGAACTCTGCAGCGCAGGACCCAGGAGTGACTGTGTGACGTAAGTACCACCTTCTAGCTACTGGCAGCAGGGACCAGAGCAGAGTGTGTGTGTATGTCCATGTGCATGTGTCCATGTGTGTGTGCGCATGTTTATGTATGGACGTGTCAATGAGGCAGGATATAACTCTGACGGGCAGCCACACTATCTCAGGTTGTGAGTCTCGCTACTGTCACATCTGAGCAGGCGCTGGCCTTGCAAACACCTGCGTAAGAGAGCTCCAAGGAATTCCCGGGTGCGGCAAGAAATGGAATTGCTGACGCAGTAGGCACACACCTCCCTCAGGCAGCACTGAACCCCAGTGCCCTCGGGTAGCTGAAGTGGGGTGGTGTAATGCTCTTGTGGTGTTAAAGATGTCCTTATACTTTTCTTAGGAGTAGGAAAATCAGCCGCAGCTTCCTGGCCCAATTCCAGCTTGTGTAGTTACACTCTGTTTCTCTAGACCTGCCACTGCATTTTCAGCCAGACACAACATTCTCCATGCCCGTGTGAGGCTGCTGTATGCCATTCCAGAAGCAGCTGCAGTTCAGTGGCAAGTGAAGTGTTGGGGACAGGAGGAAGCCATAACCAAAGTTCCTGGGATCCCTCTGGCTGGAAGCCATCAGAGCTGCGCACTATAGAGCCAGAGGCTCAGTGCAGGTTGGATGCAGGCGAGGTGCCAGCAGTAGGCTGCATGTCTCTGTCCCTCTAACATCCTGTGTTCTCTTTGCTGTTGAGGCACCTGAACCATGAGATAAGGGCAGTAGGAACCACATCAGCAGCTCAGGCCAGGCCTAGCTGGGGTGGGGTGTCCTGAACAAGAATCCCAAACTATGTCACGGGGGGGTGGTTGGTTGTGATAGCAGGGGAGCGTGTGTGTGGGCTGAGATTGCTGAAGCAGACAAGGGGCTTCTCTGCCTTCACACTGTCAATCCCCATCCTCACCATTCCCAGGTGCCTTCCCCATAGCAGCCTTACAGCTGTGTTGGCATAAGAACCCAGAATACGCCTGAGCATGGCAGGGCCCAGACAGAGCACAAGCACTGGGCATACAAGCATGGCGGGTGGGACGGTCAAAGCTAAAGGAAATTACTTAGCAGACAGGAACCTACGTTGCCCGGAGACACAACTTTATGGGGAATTCCATAGAAGTTAGGAGCCTAAATACCCTCAGGATCTGGGCCCCTGTGCCTGCTGGCGTTCCCTTGTGGGGGTCTTGTTCTCCTAGATCCCTGTCTCCACAGATTTCCTCCTATTGCAGGCACTGTGTGCCCACAGATTCCTAACTCTGCTGTGCATGCCATGCCCTTAGGCCTTCCCCCCAACCCTGCCCATGGGCGCCTGTGGAGCCAGCAGAGGTATTGGTGTTTGCAGCACTGAGAAAGGTAGGCCGGAGAGCTACAAGGGGTAGGGGCATTGAATTCCTCCTCCTCACGTCCTGGCCTACAGAAACTTGGTGTGATTTGCAAGGCTAGGGCTCAGCTGGCTTTAGGCCTTCTTGGGAAAGAGTCAAGATTCCTGAAGGGTGTTGCCTGGGGGGAGAAGTACCCTGATATGGGTCAGCAGGGGCCAGACACTAGCCTAGCTTTGCTCACCACTGTTCTCTCTGATAGAGCAGGGGCCCTGCCAACCAAAGGGCAAGACAAGAGCCAGATGAAGGTTGGCATGGGTGGCCCAGTGATAGTAGCAAGAGGAAGCAGGATAGGTGGGAGCGATGGCCAGGCTTGGAGGAGGATTGAATCCAGGTTTACAGCTTGGAGCACCCTGAGAATTCCCTACTGACTGGCAAGACATGGCCCAGGACAGTCCTGCCTCTCCAGGGGTTTCTCAGGTGCCAGCTTTAACCAGCACCAGCCAGAGCAGCAGCACGTGAGACTCCAGCTTCTGAAGGGCCAGTGGCAGCACCAAGCTGGCAGCCCTGGGGAGGAGAGGGGCCCGTCTGAAGCCAACGCCTGATATGTCTCTCTTCGTTCTCTCCTCTCGCAGCTCTCTCTGCTTCCATGCAGACACAACCAACCCAAGGCGGGCTCAGCGCGAGGAGCCAGCAGGGCCCTAGCGGGGACAGTAGAGGCGAGCCCTGGCCCAGAAGAGCTAAACTGCGCTTGGCATGGCCAGAGCGACGCATGGATGCGCTGCTTCATTAAACAAATGACTGTACTTGGTAACAGACTCATAACCATTGGCAATAGTCACCTGAGCTCCCAGCCCCCCATCAGCTCTCCCTCAGAGTGCAGGCTGCCCCATGCCCTGGGGACACCCCACATTTGGCCCTCTGGGGAACCCCTCCACTTCCCCAGCCAGACTGGCACTGGTAGGAAACCACCAGCCCCATGAGCCTGGAGTTGGTGCGCTGGGCAGGCCCAGCTCCGCAACCTGCACCCTGCTGCTATACAGATCTTCCCAGCTCCACCAGCCAACTGGGCAGGACGCCCGCTCTGTGAGCCTGCCTAGCTGGGGCACTTAGAGCAGTTCAGCCCTGCGCTTCACCCTGGAGCTTGAGGGACAGTCTGAGCCATAGACACTGGGCTCCAGTCCCAGCTCCACATCGCAGCCATGGTGCTTCAGCAATGCCCTCCCAAGGGATGACCCAGGGCCCAGTGCTTCTGAGTCATTCGTGGTGCTGAGTTTGGAGCTCACCCCCTGGAAGAACTGCTCTGCCGTCTCCTAGCTTCTGCCATTTCAAGCATAATCCTTGTTGTCTCCAGCAGCCCAGGGCCGGGTGCCCCCCTAGGAATCGCCATTCTGAGACAGCTAGTGAGTGCAAAGGGGCCAGAGCTGGGATAGTGCAGCCCATGCCGAGCACAGGGCAAGGATTCACACACTGACCAGCGCCAGCTGCTGTGAGCAGCCCCAGCAAGCCAAGCCCAGCATGGCAGCAGCAGTGTGTCTGCACCAGCCCCTGCCTGGAGAGCTAAGTGCCATGCAGAGCACAGCATCTGGTGCAGCTCAGGCAGGATCTGTCTGCGTATGGCCCCACCAGAGCAAGCTGAGATAGTCAGTCACCACCTCTGGCAGGGGGCACTGCCCAGACCACTACCAGCCAAGGACTGGCAGAGCTGGTACTGCACCATCTCCTGTTCTGAGCAGTGCCTTGCACAGCTGCTGCCCAACAAGCAGATAGGAGCTGCCTGGGCCAGCTCTGCTGTGTGGCCCCATGGCAAGGGACATGGGCCATGGCCTGGGACAGACCGTGGGGAAGTGGCTTTCACCCAGCCCTGTAGCAGAGGGGCAGGAGCAGCCTGCCCTCCGCAGCCTAGCTAGGAAGAAGTGGCCAGAGCAGGATGGAAGCAGTTTCCCTGTAGCTACATTGGTGTGTATTATAGCCTAGTGGTGACTAGAGCAGCGCGCGGCCCAGCTGCTGGGGGCTGGCTTTGGTGTTTAACCCCACTGCAAATAGACAAGCTGAAACCATTAAAGCTGCTGAGCACACGTGCAGAATGAAATCTGTTTATTGGGGCCCAGTGACCAGGCCATCCCCAGCACAGGCGGAGGGCAGCCGAGGCAGCCAGGGACCAGCCTGAACACACAGCGGCTCAGCAGAAGCAGCCGCTGCTGGGCCCAGCCACAGTGCGCTGGCACCTAGTGCAGTTCTTCCCGCCCTGCCCCATGCTCACCTGCAGTCCAGCTCTGGGGACAGGGCACAGGGCAAGTCTCTCGGTGACTTTCAGGGGAATGTGCAGAAATGCCAGCTAGCAGCAGGTGAGCCAGGGAGGGGCGAGATGGGCGCAAGAGATGCTAGATACCCCGCACCGGAAGAGCAGGATTAACCCTCACATGCCCACAGCTGGGAGGGGCTCCTTGGCTCACACATGACAGGGGCAGGGGGTCTGGCAAAACTGAGAGCCAGTTGGAAGTGGGCAGTGAAAGGAGGAGGGAGACAGCGCTGGCTACAGGCCCCCAGCCTCCTGGCAGATGCGTTTCCCACTCCAAGCCTAGGGGTGGGAGCACCCTGCTGGCAGCTGCCTGGAGGGGAAGTGGCTGCAGATGTGCTTCTCCATCCCGCCGCTGCAGGTCTCCTGGGATGGGGGACCCACTGTCCAGTCCCCTCAGCGCTGGGCAGTGAGGAACATGCATTCGGTAGTGCTCTGCACTCCCCTGGGACTACGCTCCCCCAGGACTCCTCCAGAATGATCAGCCCATTGGGGTGCAGAGAGGCAGCTTGGGCTGCTGATCAGGCTCTCTGCCGCACTAGGGGTGAGCTCCAGCACTCCCATCCCCGCCGTGGGACTGTCCCCGGATTTCTGCTGCTGGCCAGGGAAGAGTGGGAAGGCTCTGAAGCAGTAGGAAGCCAGTGCACCCACTGGGTGGCGAAGTCGGTGGCAGCAGTTTTGCTCGGGTGACACACTGCGCTCCCAGCTGGGTAGCGTCAGCTGATGCGGGGTTCAGGCTCGGGTTCTGGGGCTTTGGCAGGGGGTGGAGGCGGGGCTCGCAGCTGCAGAGAGAGAAAGAGAGATACTGATTACAAGGGGCCAAGGCCCCTGCACTGCACCCACGCGTCCCTGCTCCATGCCATCTCCCCACCCTCCCTCCCCACGCATGGGGCACATGGGGAGCAGGAATACACCCCTCAGAAAGGAGAAGCTGCGCCAGGCAAAGGCGTAATTACGGGGGGGGCCCTCCCCAGCTTCCAGGCTGAGGGACAGCAATGTCTGTGGTCCCCGCAGGAGGGCTGTGCTTTACGTTCCAAATTCAGCAGAGATCCCCGGCTGCAGGCCCTCAAACCGCGGAGCCACAATGGAGAGGCAGGGGGTAAGGAAGAACTCGCTGGGGGAGACTAGGGGAGAGAGGACAGGCTGGGCGGGACTAGGGTTGGACGATGGCTGTGGTGCTAGCACGGAGCAGGGTGAGGAGAGTTGGACATTTGGGGGGAGGTAACGGGGTGACACTGCTGGGAGCTGAGGCAGGCTCATGGCCTTCCCCCGAGGAAGCCTTTGTCCTCATACACCACTTTGTGAGCACCAGCCCCAGAGCCCCTGGTTGGGGCAGACGTGATTCATCCTGTGCCTGCAAACGCTTCTTACTGGGCGGATGCGTGCTGCTCCCAGGTCCGGAGAGCTGGGTCCACTGACTGCGCCATCCTGCCTGCAGGCTGGGAACACAGACCGGCGTTAATGGCAGGACACTAGGCTGCTCTCCACATGCCTGCACACCAGCCCAGCAGGGACCCCCCAGATGCTGGGCCCAGCCTCTTTTCACCCTCACCAGTTCCCTCCCTATCCCCCCAACCCCCACAACACAGACACCCCAAGCGACCCTAGCTGCCATCGGGGGCTCCTGCACAGAGGAAACGCCTGCTGTCTTGCTTAGGGAAAGTATTCCTGAAGGTTTCATCACATGACAATCTTTAATTTCTGGAGATTCCAGGACAATTCTAGAGAGCTGGCAACCCTAGTCTTGCCCCCTTCTGAGTGTCCTATTTATGCCAATGCTCTGGAGCCATCTGGGAGGCCAGCACCCCATGAGGCACTCACCTCCCAGCAGCACTTCGGGAAGGGGGTGGCAGCCTAGCCCGGCACTGGGCACAAGGACCGGAGGGGAGAAGGCCGGAGGAGATGGTGATGGGAGCTCCTGGAAATAAAAGCACAGGCAGGCTGCGATTAAAGAATTTTGGGGCCTTCACACTACAGAAATTGCCCCCCCGCACCTTCCTTAGAGTGCCCCCAGTCACATAGATCCCGCATGCCCCTCCCATCCACCTGGGGTGCTGTGACAATTTCTAGAGAGGAGGTGCTGAAAGCCATGGAACTGTAACCCTGTGCATGATGGAAGCCAGGCATTCACTTGCTATTACTTCAAGCTGCTGCACGCTCAGCACCCCTAGTTCCAGTGCCCCAGTGTGCCCCACGAAGCTTCCACCAGACCCCCCAACATCCCAGCCATACATCCCAATCACTGTAGCCCCCAACCTCACTCCACAGCTCCCTCAACACTCCCCATAGCCCACCAACAACTTGTCCACACCTACTTCTCCCAGGACCTTCCTAGCCATTTACTGGTCCCCCCCTTTCCCCCTCGGCTCAGCAATCCATTCCCGTCTCAGGCTAGAGTGGCTCCTTCCATCACCTGCCCCACACACCCACAGCCCTGCGCAGACAAAGTCCCCAGGCTAGGGGAAGAGTCTCCCCATGGGAATTCAGTGACCATGAGCCTGGAGCAGAGCCTGGAAAGGAATCTTTATTCAAGGTAGTGCCCCCTCATAGGCATATAGGGGAACTCAATCCACACCCTGGTTTGGTCCTGGGAGGAATAGGGAACACAGGTCTTGTCTACACTAGGGAACTTCAGTACTTCTGAAGCCAGCTGCCAGAAGCCATGTTAGCTGAGGAGGGCTGGGGACAGGGAGCCCTTGTCTGCCCTTACAACTGTTCTAAGCCACTGGCACGATGCTGGGAATTGGGGCCTGTCTCTCTGTCAGCCTATCCTGGAGAGGGGGATACAGACAGCCAAGCCCGAGCACGGCGAAGGGGGAAATGGAGACCAACCTGCCCAGCCACTCCTATGACTCCAGTTATTTCTTCCACCACCAGTGAAGGGAAGACCCCAACGCGCCCATTGAAGTCCCCTTTCCAGAAGCCATCGTCCACTTCCCCCTCCTCTCTGGGGAGCACTCGGATTATGGCTCCCTCGGGAAAGGTCAGCTCCTCCACACTCTGCCCCTCGTAATCGTAGAGGGCTCGCACCAGCCATGCTGCAGGCAGCCAGAGAGAGCAGGCAGAGCTGGTGCCAGCCGGGCACACAGTTGCTCAGCACATACAGACATTGAAAAGCCTCCACCCGGCATGGGATGGGCTGAGCCCATTCTGCTGACACTGAGGGACACTGAGGCAGAGGTGCCAAAGTTTGGGGCACTAGGCAAATGCTGATCCCAGCTGGAGGCACTGGGGTTTTCAGAGGTGCTGGGAGCCCCCATCGGCTCTGCAGGTCAGGGGGAGCTGCGGGTACCGATCACCCCAGGAACCAGGCCCTGCGCATGCCCCATGGCAGGCCTGTTGCATCAGAGGCCATTCTTGGAAGCGCTGGCCATAGGTCCCGGGGGAGTCAGGCAGGAGTGAGCTCATGGTCCCAGTCCTGTGGCCAAGCCAGCAGCCAGCCCCCCTCAGCCACGCTGCAGGCAGAGCTGCTGGTCTCCAGTCACCCAGGGACGGACCCTGGGAACTGAACTCCTTCCCCAGCTGCGTGTGCCCAGGGCATCCCTCTTCCCACATGCGGACACAGCCCCATTGTCCCAGTGCACCCATATGCAGCCCCAGGGCTTGCCACATACTTCCTGGCTCCAGCACCAAGTCCATGGTCATAATGCTAGTGAGCTCCTTTTCCAAGGTGGTCTCGGAGGGGCCTTCCTGGCAGCTCCCAGTCAGCGCCCTGCGCTCACTCCCCACGGCATCCAGGAACAGCAGGTACTTCTCAGGGACATAGCCCACCTGCCCCGCCTGGTTCCGAGCCTGCAGACAGCCGCCGAGGGCAGGAGAAGCCAAATTAGGAGAACCCAGCCAGCTCCAGGGCCAGGCAGAAAGGACTCAGCCCTGAGCCAACCAAACTCCTGCATGAGAACCCAGGGCAGCCACCCCCAGGCTCCCCCATCCCGGCCCAGGCCATGGGCCAGCTCCCGGGAGGAGGGAGGCCCGAGGGAGCCAGCATCCACAGTCCATTCCCCAGCCTTCTCCGGCGCTGCCTCTAGCGAGGGAAGAGACTAGCCAGCTGCTGTGCTGGAAGGGGACGTTCCCACTGCGTTTCTTCCCCTCCCTCGTCATAGACACATCCCCACTGACCCACGCCCACCTTGACCCATTCTTCCACATCGCCGTCCTCAATGACCTCCAGCTCCTCGCCTTGGCGGATGGACAGCTCGTCAGACTGGCAGGCCTGCACAAGGGACAAAAGCCATGGGACAAGTCGGAAGCAGTGCTCCCTGCAGCCAGCCCCGGCTGCCAAGCCCCTAGAGGAATGCAATGCCCCAGCCTGGGGTGGGGGAGGGAGCAGAGAACCTGCTGCCAGCAGGGACTGCCCCAGCCTGGGGCACAGGGCCCTTCACTCAGCACCCTGAAAGAGCATTGCATGGTTCAGAGGGCTCCTGGGTGCTAGGCTTGTGTCCCTGGGGTGGGGGCCTTACCTGGTACCCAAAGAACACCCTGCAAGTGGATGGGTAGATGCGGGCAGTGCCAGGGCAGGGACCGGCATCCTCAAAGAGCTCCTCATTGTCGTCATAATCGTCAAACTCTGCCAGATCGAACTCTTCTGCCTGGGGACAAACCCAGCATGAGAGAGCACCCCGCACCCAGTCGCCCTGCCACTCTCTGGGCACACGGGGCCACCACAGGACCAAGGCGACACTCCTTGCCCAGGCCACCCCAGCAGCAGATGCCCCCCGCTCCTCCCAGCCACTGGCACAGAGGGCTCTGCTCAGAGGGGTGCTCTGGGCTCTCAGCAGCGGATGGGAAGCCAAAAGTGGAGGGGCAGCTCTCACCGTGGGGGTCGACTCCTTGTCCGACTTGCGGGCCTCGCTCAGCCGTCGCTCCTGCTCCAGCTCCTCCAGGACTTGCCCCATGGCCCCCGCCAGCCAGGTGTCCACGTCTAGGCCGGCCTGGCGCAGCAATACCAGTCGGGCATCAGCCTTTACTCTGCTGACCTTAGGGACACAGGGAGAGCAAGCGCCTAGTCAGCCCAGGCCTCAGCACCTGCCACGGGCCTGGGCAACCAGCCAGCCAGCAGGGCTGGGCCAGGGGCCATCAGCTGGTACCAGAACCATGGGGCGTAGGGTTGCCAATTTTCTAATCACAACAAACCGACCGGACTTTTAGTGGCCTATTAAAATCTCCTGGATTGCTTTCAATAGCCACCAGGAGATCGAGGCCGATTCCAGTAGACTCCCGGCCAATCCAGGAGGGTTGGCAACCCTAATGGGGTGGGGGGTGAGGGGGAGGGCTTGAGTCTTGTTCAAGTTGGAATCATGTTTTTATTCAATTCCACTTGTGTCTCCAAGGAATAGCCCTGTCCCTGCTCCTCCCCCTGCTCCTCCAGCCCCCCCCCCTCCAAACCCCCTTGGATGTATTTTCCAAGAGTTCTGCTCTACGAATAATTTGGGGGGCAGGTCTCTGGCCTGTGCTATACAGGAGGCCAGCCTGGATAATTCCAATGGTCCCACCTGGCCTTGGAATCTATGAGTGCGTGTGAAATACACCCGGATCCTGTTCGACCCAGACTAGATGAAGTATAACAGAATAATAGGGGACTAGGCGTACCAGATTTGCCCTTACACGACCATCGTCGTTCACTGTGGCCAGAGTGGGCTGCACAGAGGGCTAAGAGTCTGCAGAGCATGCAGGTGCTGGCAGTCATTCAGATGCATGCCACATACACAGCAGGAGCTAGCGATGCCGGGCCAGACTGTTGCTAGTGACACGAGTAGGGCCCTACCAAATTCATAATCCATTTTGGTCAATTTCACGGTCATAGGATTTTAAAAAGAGTAAATTTCATTATTTCAGCTATTTAAATCTGAAATTTCAGAGTGCTGTAATTGTAGGGGTCCTGACCCAAAAAGGAGTTGTGGGGGAGCAGTGGCGCTGGAACATTTTAAAAAGTGGGGGTGCTGAAAGCCAGCCCCCCTTACCCCAGTCCACCACCCCCCGCCCACCTGAGGCCGGGAGCAAAGCCTCGGGTGCAGGACTGGCCGTCGGAGCCCAAAGTTGCAGCACCCCCTGCACCCTTAGTTCCTGCACCTATGTGGGGGAGTTGCAAGGTTATTGTGGTACTGCTTCCCTTAATTCTGCGCTACTGCTGGCAGTGGTGCTGCCTTCAGAGGTGGGCAGCTGGAGAGTGGCGGCTGCTGGCAGGGAGCCCAGCTTTGAAGGCAGAGCCGCCGCCAGCAGCAGCGCCTGGTATGGTATTGCAACCCTTACTTCTGTGCTGCTGCCTGCAGTGCTGGGTCCTCAGTCAGCAGCCGCCACTGTCTGGCCACCCAGCTCTGAAGACAACACAGAAGTAAGGGTGGCAATACCGAGACCCCCGTAAAATAACCTTGGGACCCTCTGCAACTCTCTTTTGGGTGAGGACCCCCAATTTGAAAAACGCTGGTCTCCCCCATGAAATCTGTATAGTATAGGGTAAAAGCACACACAAGACCAGATTTCACGGTCCATGATGCATTTTTCATGGGTGTGAATTTGGTAAGGCCCTACACATGAGAGTAAGAAAAAGCCAATTCAGATACTGTGCAATGCTGCATGTGGAGCAGAGACCGGAGGACAGAGCCCAAGGCTGCTCTGTTGGCTTGAGAAGAGCTCACGGCCGGGTAATCCCAGAGCAGCGCGTCTGCTAAGGGGCAGAGGGAAAGCCAGGGCCACCCTGCTGATTCTGAGGCCTGGTCCACACTAACCCCCCACTTCGGACTAAGGTACGCAAATTCAGCTACGTTAATAACGTAGCTGAATTCGAAGTACCTTAGTCCGAACTTACCGCGGGTTCAGACGCGGCAGGCAGGCTCCCCCGTCGATGCCGCGTACTCCTCTCGCTGAGCTGGAGTACCGGCGTCAACGGCAAGCACTTCCGGGATCGATCCCAGAAGATCGATCGCTTACATCCGGACCAGGAAGTAAGTATAGACGTACCCTGAGCAACACACGTGGCAAGCAGCACATTCTGTCCACGGTGCTTTTGTGCTGCAGCATTATCAACAGCATTGTCTGTGCATTGTGGGGCCCTGATGCATCTGCCACAGGAGCATGGCGTGTCAGGAACTTGTGTTACCCAGCCTGCCTGCCCCCCCCTTGTTGCTGGCATTCACTTCCTGCCAGTCCTTCCCACTCCATCTGCAGGGAGGGCTCTGCTGGCACAAATCCTGGCAGAACAGCAGCAGCAGGGCCGGGCGCACCGGCCAGCAACAGGAGCAGCAGCACAGGAGCGGAGGGTGGGTAACTGGTGGACACAGTACAGGTGGCGCATACAGGGTGCACACGGAACAAAACCAGTAGCCAGAGGGACACACAGCCCTACCAACCTGTCCCCCGCCTGCCAGACCCACCTCTGCTTTCCGGATGTTCTCGCTCACTTCTTCCATCCTCCTCTCCATGCCGGGCATCTCCGCTTCAGGGGCCTGCTGCCTCCTGGCTTCCATCCTCTGCAGAACCTGCACAAGGCCAGGCCAGACTGAGCCCCACTGCTGCCGGGGGCTGCAGCTCCACTACGACTTCACTGGCCCCAGCCCCCCACCCCAGACAGAGACCAGAACCACTGGGTTGGGGCCTGCCCTCACCTCCCCCCAAGGAGGCCAGAGACCCCCTGGCCATGCCCCAGGATAGTAGAGAGGTTGTTTGGGGGCAGGGAGAAGTAGATCCGTCCCCCCCTGGAGGCACAGGACAAGCCTGGCAGTGAGGATGCTCCTTCTGCTCTGGGATGAACCCGGGGCTGGGGCTGAGCTGGGCAGCCCTGGGCACTCACCTGCTTGCCATGAGTCTTTATTTTGTAGTCTCTGGCTGCCCGGGTGGCCCAGCGCCGCGCCTCCTTCTCCAGCCCGCTCTCCCCAGCGCTGCCACTCCTCGCCTCCAGGAGGCACACCTAGGACAGAGTATCACAAGTCACAGTGCACCCTGCCGCCAGCCCTCAGACAGGGCTCTGGTGCACCTCTCCAGCTGCCTGGCGCCACCCTGGGGGAGCTCCGCACAGGGAGTCCCTTGTCCCCAGTGCTGCGCAAGCCCGGCTTCTCGCCTTACGTGGTCGGCGCCCGACGGCTGGAACTGCTGCTCAGGAGTTGGGGTGAAGGCAGTGTTATCCTGCAGGAACAGGAGGAGGCTCTGCTCCCTGCACACCTGTAGGAGCAACAGGGGGTGGGTGAGCAGGGCGGCACACTGGGCCCTGGGAGGGGATTGGGGTAGGGGCAGCCAGGGCCAAGCCACTGCTTGGTCACTAGGAACCCATGACCCATGGCAGTCCACATCCAAGCCAGGTGCAGGGGCACAGGCATGCCTGGGGGATGGCACCATGCCAGGAGGTGGGGGTGTGGGCACAGCCAGCACTACACAAGGTGTGGATATGGAATGGGATTGGCCCCTCCTTGAAAAGCAGGGCAGATCCCGTTACCTGTGTGGAGGCCTCCAGGATCCCCCGAAACCGCTCCTGTGTGGCGTGACAGGCCTCTAGTTCTGACTGGCTGACTAGAGTCAGGTGGTCCCGGAGCCGTTCGTACAGGTCACCATCCAGGGTCTGGAAAAGCACAATCAGGCCAGTTACTGGGGGGAGGACAGGGTTGGCAGGACTCCCCAGGAATGCCCTTGTCCACCCCCGGGAGAGAAGAGTCCTCCTCTGAGCTCTGCTGAACTCATCACACAGACCAGAGGAAAACTGGGATGGCTCCTCAAAGGACAAGAGAGCCCCCTACTGCCAGTGGAGAAGGAAGCCAGTGAATGGCAACGGGATCAGCTGGAGTGAAGTCTGCTCAGGGAACGGGCAAGCAGGCCAGCTGGAACTGGGGAGAAACGCGTCAGAGGTGCACGGGGCTTCAGGTGGGTTCAGGCTGATCCATGGTTTGCAGCTCCTGAGCCGGCCCCAATGGACATTCTGGAAAGAACTGAAGGGACAGCTGCTTGGCTATCTGGACAGGGCTGCACTCAGGGAACGCAGGGCTTCCCCCTAAGCTACTGTCCCAACACAGCATGAGCCTGTGTGGATTTCCCAGCCCTTGGCCTTCCCCAGCAGGGGGCACTGTGGGAAACAGGGCAGGCGTTCTGGCTGTAGGGGGAGTTCCTGGCTACTCCACCCCCAGCCTGACTCACCAGGGCGTGCTGTGGGAAGCAGGGCTGGCTGAGGGGAGCTCACAGTCCCAGCCTCTGCCAGCAAGGCTGCTGTAGTGCTGGGAAATCTCTTTCAGCCCACCTGCAGTCTCGAGCCAAATGACGAACACGTTCCTCCCTGTCCATTGGACACAGAGCTGGGGCTGCCCATTGGCAGAGACCTTGGACTCCTCCCCTCCCAGAATCACAACTGTTTTGCCATGCCTGACATGCAAAAGAGGAGAGGGCGCTGCATCCCCAGCCTGGGAGCAGGTGGGTAAGTGCAACAAACCCTCTGCGCCAAGAACCACCCCCTGATGCTCAAAGGCAGAGCCCAGGGCGCAGCTGCATGGCAGAAAAACCACACACTGCCCCAGACACTGGGGGGCGCAGGCAGATATGTCCTTGCTTCAGGTCTCGGGGGAACCCCAACAGGAGGGAGGGGCCTTCGCCCAGCTCCAGCCCCAGCTGCACAGCAGATGCTTTCCAAAGCAAACCTGGAATCCCAGGGCCTTAAGCCCACCACCACGCAAGGCCTCTTCTCCCAGCTCTGCCACCCTCCTGGGGCGGGGCTAAGAGGCTCCTGCCTCCTTAGTGGCCTACACAGGGAACCTCCACTGGCCCCAGGATGCTGTTGCCCTAGGCAATCTGGCAGAGAGAGGGTCTGGGGCACCCAGCGAGGCAGCAACACAGCTGGGAACAGCCCCAGGATTCATGGTTGTTAGTCTCCCCTCTAGTCACTGGGGTCCACCTCCCGCCCCTAGACTGGCTCCTTAGGGCAGGCAGGAGCATGACTGCCTCAGCTGGAAGAAGGGCTGGCTAGCTGGCTGCAGGGCGAGGCTCTTCTACCTTCATGACGGCAGGCAGCTCGACATGGTAGTAGTGCCCCAGGTGGGCATTGGCAGCTCCCAGGGTCAGCAGGTATTCGTTCCGCGCCACCACCAGCTGCAGCGAGTTCTCGGACAGCTGCACAGAAAACTGCGGGTGGGGGACAGAGCACGGCCTGGGTAATGGGGCAGGGCATGGCCGGCTGCCCAGTGCCCTCTGCGGGGCTTCCCCGATCAGCCCCGGCATCCCCCTCTCCCCATGATCAGCCCCTCCCTCAATGGGCTCTGCCCTCTCCTCATATGGTGTCCCGGGGTCTCCCAGCAGGCCCTGTACTCAAAGCACCGCCCCTCCTACAGGAAGCGCCAGGCTTTCCCCACCGTGCCCGCCAGGCCCCCTCGGCCACAGGCTCTGCAACAACTCTGACCTTGGTGCTGAGCTTCTGCAAACTGGCCTTCGTGTGGAATATGCCATGGTCGCTCTTCCGGAGCCTACAGAAGGGACATGGCCATCAGTGCTCAGGTAGCTTCCCCTTTCCACAGGCCCCTCCAAGACAGGCACACTGGCCCCACAACGAGGGAGCCACCCCTGCAGTGGGAGCTCTCTCTAGGCCCCACAGAGCACCCTGCTCTCATGGGGTGCAGCCAAAGGCAGAAGTGGGTGGTCAGGAGATCCCCTCCCCAGGACACGGTGGGATCATGCACCCTGGGACCCTCTGACCAACGTCCCAGGCACCATGGTGCCCTCTACCAGATGCCCTTACAGGGCCCCCCCGCCCCTACCACAGGGCAAGTGCCGCTCACTCACCGGGCCTCCACATCAGCCGCTTTCTCCTTGGCCACCTCGCTGACCCGCTGTAGATGCATGTAGCGCTTCTTGGCTTTGCCCACTTCCTTCACCGTCTCCAGGAGCTCTGCCTGCACCCTCTGCAGCTGCTCCGTGCTCTGGGGCAGAGAGGGGGTGTGAGCCCCACAGCCCCTCAGCCAGCCCTCCCGGCACCTGCCCCCTGCTCTGGGAAGCCCCTTTGAAGAGCAGGAGGTTGGGGCCTGTACCACCGTCTCTCCTCCCCCAACCCAGACTGTACCTTCTTGAGCAGGTGCTCCTTGGACAGTCGGGTGGTTTTAGCCACCTCCAGACTCAGGCTGCGGTAATTCTCCGAGGCTGCCACCCGGGCCTGCCCGGCGCACACTGTGCTGTCAATTGCCCCCTTCCAGACGGCAAAGGCACTCCTGCAGGGAACGGACACCGGAGGAAGCCTGGCTGCACCCATGGAGCAGAGCAGCTCCTCTCCCACACACTGGCCCTGTACATGCTCCCTGTCTTCCACCCCCCCCGTCTCCGCAGGGGCTGCCCCAGCTCCCCCATTGCACCTGGATGGCCAACCTGCTCCAAGGACCCCATGGCTCCCAGAACCTGAATGGAGAGCCCTGGGTGCTGTGCACAGCCTGGCCCAGCTGGCTCTTCCCTGGGTTTCTGCCGATGTGCAGTCCCAGATCTATCTCAGGGCCATTATCCAGCCCTACCTCTAGAAGTGGCAAAGCCATTTCCCGAGCTTCTGTCCACCTGCCTGAGTTGCCTGAGCCCCAGCCGCATCCTGCATCAGCCCCGCTAACGACTGGCCATGCTTGCAGGCCTTGGCAGAATCGCTGCTGTCTGGCTGGGTTGGGAAGCCCTGTCCCTCAGGATCTCACACTGCTGCCCAGAAAGTCTGACCCAAAAAAACCCTGTCATTACAGCACGAAGCACCCCGCGTGCTTCTCCACAGCCCCTGCAGAACATGACATGGCCTAATGCTGCATGGCCTATGACAGCTCCCTCCCCAGCTGCCTTTTCCCTCGTGTCCACTCCAGCTCCTGGCTCTCCCCTCCCACTGGCCTCCACTCAGTAGCTTTGGATTTCTCTCTGGCCCTGGACTTTTCTTCTCTCCCCACATGCGCTCCATCAGCAAGGCAGGACATCTCCATCTCTGAAGCACGACCCCTGCCCTCCCATGTGCTAAGACCCTCTCCAAGCCTTCCTCTCCTGTACCTCTTCCTCCTCATCTCCACCCAAGCCCCAGCTCTTCAGACCCGGGCTGCCCTCCTCGCACACGGGAAGAGGTGCAATCCTCAAACTTGGGCTCCCAGCAGGCACCACAATGCAGGGGACAAGAGCCCCCAATTTAAAGCCCTTGGGGGCAGAGGCAGATTACCATTTTGAGGGGCCCTGGGCCAGAGCAAGTGGGGGCCACTCCCCACCCCTTTCACCTGCAGTTCCCCCCCCCGCCGCCTCTCCTCAGCACTCCTGCCGGGGAAATGAGGTTGGGGCACGGGGGCTTGCCGGGGTGCTCCTAATGGGGAGGCCCCTACACCCCAACCCCATTCCCCAACAGGAGCACTGGGTGGGTGGGCAGAGCAGGGCACGGAGGCACCCATTTTTCCAGGGCCCGCCAATTGGCATCAGCTCAACTGGCCCTGTAGCTAATCCACCACTGCTTGGTGGGTTGCTCTAATGAGCCAACAGGTCTTCTCTCCATTTTCTTTATACTTCAGCCACCATGCGTCTAGGGGTGGCCCCTACATCTCTCCTCTCTGCAACTCCTATTGCCTGTATTGAGCTTTCTGCATCTCTCTACCTCATTGACTCTTGCCCCTCATATCTCCCAGGTGAAAACCTCTCTGCTCTCCACTGCCCCTCTCGTATACCAGAAAATAAATAGCTCTGGACAGTGTTTAGTGGGAGCACCTTCCCCCTAGAATACCAGAGCTCTCAAGAACGCCACACGTATGCACACGCACTCCCATATACACACACACGTGTGCCACTGCAGTGCATGGTTAAACTCTGCCGCGTTTCACCCCAGAAGTAGCTAAATTTTCGTGGTGGATAAGGGACTCTCACACAGGTATCACTCGTTCTGTAAATGTATCAGAGGGGTAGCCGTGTTAGTCTGAATCTGTAAAAAGCAACAGAGGGTCCTGTGGCACCTTTAAGACTAACAGAAGTA